TCTGTGGGACCTGAGTGTAATTTTCTCTAATTAATTCAGAATCCAAGTCCAAGATTTGGGAAATCACAAAAATACAAACTTGTCACCATTTGATTTGAACTTTGAGTGCTCCAGAATCCTCTGAGAATTCGAAGCTTGAAAAACTTGGATCGAAATCGAATATTCTCTTTTCTTCCTTTATCATCTCCATGAGATGGAGATCGCATCCTGCATATTTTGCAATAGCCACAAATAATTATGGGCAAGGCATGAATTTGGGACACTAATTATTATTCGAGCTTAATGTTTAGTCTAATCGATATGGGTACCAACTTTGTCTGGTAAGCAATATTCTTCATATCAGTTTCATTTCACATGAATTTATATATATGTGACAAGAATTGATATATTGCTTGCACGCATCAATTATTCTATTAACATTATTTTACGATAATGTTCATATTTTAAAAACATAGGTGTGGTTCTCTGATGCATTGTCGAGAATAAAATCATTGGAAATATTATCACAAAAATCATAATATCCCTAGACCATACAAATATATACAAATTAAGTTCATTGAAAAGATTCAGTGCTGGAGTATCAAGTATTATTTGTTAACTGGGTGCTTTATTTTGTAAACCAGTAATTAGTTTTGGCAGCAACAAAATTATACTGAGCAATATTTTCACAAGAAGCTGAAGCAATTGTTCATAGATAATCAAGGTCATACATGAAAAAGGTAAAACTTAAACAACTAAAAAAGTTAAAAGCAAATATAACTAGCTATAATAAACACATCAATTATAAGATCTATAAGAAATCACATTACTCATGTATCATGAAATTCTTCAGGCTTTCTGTACAGTGTACAACAAGTCCTGAATCTAATTAAATAATCATAAAAAAAGTACGAATGGACAATATATCAGTAAATTACCATATATTATAGAACCAGCTAGTTATGAAGGAAGACGTACAATTATGTGTTGGTGGTGCAAAGAGATTGAAGAAGGGTTCGAATTAATGTACAGATGTGGCAGTGGTCACGGGGATGTCCTAACTACCAATGAACTTGGATAGTGAGATTCCTCTCACTAGCTATTCAATAAATCTACCCACATAGAATATATATATATATATATATATATATATAAAATATAGCTGGCTCATCAAAATTTAAAGCCTGGCTTCTTGATTTTTGTGAATTAATTAAATCTACACGGATATGCCTCAATTAGAAAATCAAACGCAGACTTGCACGGAGTTTAAAACATAATTTATACTACATTCTGTCCTTAATATAAAATCCTGTTTAACTTTTATTTTTATCCTAAATATAAGACCCCAATCTACTTGGTCTTTCATATTTATACATTTTTTTCTAAAGTACCCCTTCTAATAATAAGAGTTTTAGTCAATACACTTGATTAGCAAGGATATTTTAAAAAAGACAACACCTATTTAGGACAAATAACTAACTCAACTTATTTTTTTAACCTCTTCAAATTAGTCAACTGGCTCTTATAATTAAGACTGGAGATAACATATTGTAAATTGAACAGTACTATCAATGACACTCATATAATGTGAACCCGTTTGGAATAGCTTATAAGTAGTTTTCAATTATAATTTATGAAATACGGAGTAAATATTACGGAGAAGTTTTGTCTCGATTTACTTAAAATGTCTTTATAAGAGATTTCAATCGTGATGACAAACAGGCATGTATGTGTATTTGCTGGTTGAGGGAAAGAAGACAAAAACGGACTATAGCAAGCTATAGCAAGTTGGTTATCGATGTAAATTGTGTATGAAGTACTATAGTTACTAGAATTAATTGAAATATGTAAATATGTTAATAACAAATTTATATCAGAAGCGACTGTATCACCTCTTTGAATATATTATGCGCCTCCAAAATTAGAGTCTTGGTAAAAGGAAAAAAAACTTTTTTTTTTTGGGAAAAAAATGAAGAAATTGTTATTTTATTAATGGGATGCTATGTGCTAAGCCTGACACCTCTCGTTAATATTCTTCATCGAATAGGTTCGATTTGTTCGCAGACTAACGTACTTAAGATAATGTTGGATGTCAATCTCAGTACCCCACAAGAGTCACAGCAACTATATATATATATATATATATATATATATATATAAATAAAGACACACACACATATGTGATTTTTCATAAGTACGATGCCCCACCGGTTGAGATTCCTTCTCATTATTCATCCTTGAAGTAATCAAAAGCTGGGATAGCCAATCCTACAATGACCCTTAAGACTGAAATATCAAATATATATTATATAACAAAAAAATGCAGGTTTGCCCCTAAAAAAGGAGGAGGAGGAGGAGGAGCACAGCTTGAGCTGCGTTTGAACTTGTTAGAAAAAGCATGAACAAGAAAGAAAACTAGTGTGTACGATGTTTTAATTTTTCAATAAAATTTCGAATTATGTGATAATATTTTCATGTAAGATTCGATTTTAATTATATGACTGTTTTCCCCCCCCAAAAAATACGTATTATTTTGTTTGAAAGTTTCATATCAAGTACGTATTCAAAATACACTTAAATTACGTTGAAATGGAAATTAGTAGTCGGGGTTAGGTTGCGATTTAGATAGATTTTGACGTATTGATGATAAACCATAGGCCTAGTTTTAATCTCCTAGCTTGGCTGATATAATTAACAATAATCAGCGATTCAGCTGACCTGTCTTAGTGCGGTTTAATCAAACTTCCAAGCAAGGAAACATGAAAATAAAGAAAATAGTTGAAACAATTTTCCTAAGCTTGCTAAGGGATTTTTTTCCCAAAAAAGGAAGCCGTATCAAGTGAAATTATTAAAAAAATACACATGTACACGCATCACGGCTTCATATATATCTAGAATAGCTAACTATATATTTTCGGGAATCAGTTTCAGTGCTTATCACTTTGACGAGCACCATAAACTCATCAAATCTGAATCTTTCATATTTCATTTGGATGGTCTAGATTTGATTTTTTTTATTTTTATTTATTCAAAATAATTATTTTAATATGTAATAATTTAAAATAAAGATAATCTCTTAACTATTATTCTTTCAACAAAAATAATCTTTTCTATTTAAAAATAATTAATTAAATATTTTAAATATGAACTGTTCAAATCAGATATAAATTATCTACATTTGATGAGTTTAGGATGCTCACCAAGGTGATGAGTATTGAAACTGGTTCCATATTTTCGTACACCAATTTTACACGCATCAGCTTGTGTGTGATAAGGCAAATTTCATGATCAAACAGGTCTTTTGTTGAAGAATGATCTTGACAAGATTAATATAATTATATATGCAAGCAACTTATTGTGTGTGCACACCGCATCTTTAATTAAAATTTATTACGTGAATTCATTTTATGAGAACAGTATTTTATGCTTAGTAAGTCTGTTTTAGCTTGACCAATCAGTAGCAAGTATAGCTTTTCAAATTGTAGAGTGCGTAGAACTGATATTGGATGAATTGGCAGCGTTCTCACGTCGTTTGTGACAGTACCGGCATCCGCCAAAAGAAAAGCACGTTGCTATCTTACCATTGCACGTTATTATAATATTCTCATACAATGATAATGATGCCTTTCACACGCGAGAACCGACGATCTCTTTGTACTTTCCCATATCTTTTGCGTTGCCAAATGACTTTCAGCTTCCCCTTCACTTCCTAAGTCATCACAGCCTTCAAATTTTGTCTCTTGTCTTTGTACTGTTCGGGATTTTGGATGACACTCGTATTCTTTCATGGATGATATATATGTACACAATTGAAGGAAATTCAAATGCATCTTTCAAAATTCTTTCATAGATTAATGAGAATTGTGTTTAATAAAATGAGTTAGTCCCTCAAAATACGGTGAATCGTTGTTCGGATCTTTATTAAAAGTGTTAACATTTACTATTGAATAGCGTCTTAAACGTACTTTTAATCGAAAGATACTTGTACTTAATTTTAAACAAAACTCCAATTGTTATGTTATTTTTTATTTAAAATTTTAATAATAAGCATTTAAAACGAACAAGAAATGTTAGCCAGTTGGATGAATGCATGGAATCAATCTTGCGAACTGCAAGACGATGATGGGCTATCATTGAACAGGGGGCGATCTGAGACCATATATCACAAAGCTACGAAGCGAGGGTTGTTGCCATGTTGGCACTGGACGAGCATAGTATGAAGGAGTTAAAATCGCAAATAGTATCAATAAGGATTGAATCTAACAAAAATGATTAATTTCTCATAAATCAATGTTTGAATTCCTCTTTAAAAAAGTGTTCACATTTAATATCCAGCAGTGACTTTAATAAAATTGTCTTGCTTATGCGTAATAAAAAAAATGATGAAAATGGTAGAGTCGTTTGCACTTTTACCTCCTCCATCGTCTAACATCGTTGAGTTGCAACAGTACACATTCACTAATAAGATTCGCACGGCAACCCCGCCATAATAAAATCACGCACGAAATATAGGCTGTCTTCAGCTCAGAGTGTACGAGATCGCATTGCGTCATTACCATTCAGTTGACGATTGGGCCCACATCGAAGACGAGAGACTGCGCTCACGGAGAAATCGTTTTTCCTTCATTCGCTGTGTCACTGAGATTCTCTATTGTTCAGATCAAATCCAATCTAGTCCTAACATGTTTATATAAATATATATACTTATGTTTGATTTAATCTGCTCAATATAGGTAATATTAGATTCTAATCAGGCGCTTTAGAGGAGGACCAAGTAATTAATAATAGTCCTTCGCAAATTCCTCACACAACTAACAAATTTACTCCCCCTGCAATTCTACGTTGTTTAAATCATATTGTAACAGTACATAACATGTTAATTTATATTTTCATATATTATCAAATTTGAATTAGAAGATTTAACCGCAGTGGGCAGAAGCTTGCTCATGCCACCTGAGGAGCATCGCCCTTTTCCTCTTTGCGGATTTGGGGTTAGGAAAAGAGGGAAAAGATTTCTAGCATAGATCCAATCCATCCGCTTCAATAATATATAGACACTGTCACTTATGAATCAACATATCAACATGTTAGACACATTTTTTAATCGAATCTATTCCTCACATATTTATATAATTACTTGTTACTTATGTTTAATTTAACCTGTTTAGTACGGGTGATACTAAATTTTAATCAGACGCTTTAAAGGAGGACCGAGTGAAGAGGCCAATTCCTTGTGAACAAAACCGTAATCAGAACATCTGATGAATAAATCAATCACATGAGACAACAGAAAGTGCTACCCGGAGGTCATTTGATGTTCCACTCGTATACATCCGATAACTCTTCAATTCATTTTGAGAAGCGCCTGTATCACAAGCTGCATAGTGATTCTCGTTCACCTCATCGCACAGAGTAAATATAATCTCCCTCAGGATTGGTTCATGGCCGTTGAGAAGATTGCCCATGCTCAGAACTTTTCTCCAAGATTGATTGGCCGTGGGAGGACTGAACATATTGGACACCACTGCTCTCTCATGATTCCTTACCTCCAGTTTCCTGCCATACTCCTAACAAGAAAATAGCATGGGGAAATTACACGTCAGTCCATGCCCAGGAAGTCTTAGGGTCGGACAAGGTTAAGTTTTTCCTAGATGTTTGTAATGAAGTTCTTCTATTAAAACATAACTTCGGTCTTTAATATAAGATGTATTTTGTAGTTCATTTTAAACTACAAAGTATAAACTGGATGTTATATTAAGGATCGGGCTTAGTAATATATAAGCATTCTGTTTCAACTAGCCCTCATTGTTTATTGCAGACTCCTGTGAAACTTGATTTTTAATACAACCAAATTAGGCCACTGGCATAGAGGTATTTCACCTTATTAACAATGTCGTCTGTTAAGCCTGTTCCCATTCTCGGACTATAGAAGTTGTAGAAATCACCAAAAATTTCTCTAGAGAGTCGTGGTGCCCGCAGAAGCTTGCGGTGTAGAGAAGCAGCAGTAGTCAATAATTTCTCAACATGCTCGAAAACGATACAAAGTCGTCTTAGGTCATTAATAGTCTCACTATCTGCATATAGACGATTCACTGCAATAAAATGGAACTCGAAGTTAACTAATAGATACCTTGCAACGGTTTCAGTCCAGAAGCCAGAAACTAGTGAATAGATACCTTGCAACGGTTTCAGTCCGGATGCCAGGGTACGGTAAAGTTGGTCCATCTTCGTCCCCATCTGTTTCAGTTCTCCATAACTGGTCTGATTTAGTGTGTCTACCGCTGCCCTGAAGGCAGTACAAACCATTTGCTCAAGCAATTGATGTGGCCGTAGAGTTTCCAGGTAATGAAGCACCTAGAAATTTCAGGATGCTAAATAAATAAGAGAAAACGAGATACAGGGGTGATCAGGAGCACGTATCTTAATTCTCAAACACCCTTAATATTTGAACAAATATGTCTTTTCTTTCCTCACGTTGAAAACAATGGGGACTGAAATAACATGTTCAACTCAAGCACCATCTAGAGGATCCTCACAGAGTTGTTATGTCATCATCTCCTCCCAAATGTAAATGTGGGGAAATTCATGTATTAATCCCTAAATTTTAAACCAGAATCCATAAAATGATTTCTGCTCCTGGGTCCTGAGTCTTTATTAGTTCTTATTGTTTTGTTTGTCAACCTATTATTTCCTCCATTATCTCAGGTTTGCCTTGATCTATTTCCTTTCGTATCATGATTTAGCAACCTTTTATATATAGGTTGCCTTCTCTAACGAATACGATTAAAAAATAGAGGCGTCAATGCTTTAAAAACCTTCAAAATGCAATGGCAAGACTAATTTTAAATTCCTGGTTTAAGAAAAATCAAGAGCAGTCATGTATTCGTTGGAGATCAATGTAGTCAACTGGCAAAAGTTGGTAAGAATTTCTCATTCTCGATGCTGAAGTGAAAATATGACCTCAATTCTCAAACACTTCTTTTAATGCTGGTCACTTCAGACTGATTGTAGTGAGTAACTAAACTAAGCAAAAGCAGGCTTCTGCATTTCACAAATGAATCATAAAAGTAAATTTTCAAGGATAAGTATTAGCTTTTGAGTGACTGGTTTAGTTTAAAAAATGAGCACACGGAGGTCAAAATCATATCACCCACAAGAAGTTGGTTAAAGTTTCCGCTACACACAAAAAATATAGAAGATCATATGACCTCCAAGGATTCTTAAGATCCCACCCTTGGCTCCACATAAAAGGAAAAGTGAAGATTTTGTTTAAGCAGTTTAATGGTTGAGCTGCCAAATAAAACCTAAAAAAGACACAGAAATCACGTCTGGTGCAGTGTTTAGAAAATCATATTGGTACTTTTCAGTTCTCTTGTACCCAGTAAAATCACATAGGTCAAAGCTGCAATAGCATCACAATGAAGATAGTGAAACATACAGAAAAAGGAACTCCATATAATAAATGTCCTGTAAGACAGCAAAAATCTGCTTCACTATAGCACAACATTAACATAAAAAACAAAATATTCATTTCACGGAAAAGACTTACTTTTTCTCCCTCTCTATTTGGATCGAGAAGAGGCTTCTGTTCAGAAGCAGGAAGAGCAGATGCACTATCCCAAATATTTCTCCACAGGTTCCCTTGCTCAGACATCCTCTTTGAAAGTCGCCCTTTTGGAGGCCAAATATCTTTTGACTTCTCAACTCCATCGCCACTTTGCAATATGCTGTCTTCAAGGTCATCCTCTTCCCAATCTCCAGGTGAATGCCACCTTATGAAGTCTTCAAAGACAGCATCTGGATTTGCTGCTTTAAATGCTGACATGTCTGATATCATCAAAGCCAGTTAGTGTCAGTCATATCTGGCATCATTAATATTATAAATTCCCGGTATTCATTATAAACCATGAAGAAAATTTTTCCCAGAGAGGAAACAGGAGGTATGGCAACCAAAGAATACATATATCTACCCTCTCAATATTTTAAAGAGGAAAAAGGAAAATCCAAAAATCTTATTTCAACCAATTCACTTTTGATGATAATGCCTCCAATGCAGGCAAGGGACGAGATACATGATTGTATCAAGAGGACTAGTATGTTTGTTTATGCTTACACGCTAAAGGCATTAACAACATATAACTAATAGTAAAGATAGTGTCATCAACGCCAGATGGTGGCAAGCCCAAAAAACACCATAGGTGATGGCCGCCAAAGCCATAGCAGCCACCATGCCATAGCCTTCGCAAAAGATAAAAAGGAGAAGCACCACTTTAAAGTCATTTATTTATGTCGTATTTCTAGGTTTGTATTTCTACATCATGGAATTGTTGCAAAGAACTCAGATTTTGGGATTTGATCAGAGACGGGAATTCATTAATTCTTTGAGAATTCATTAATTCTTTGAACATTCAAGAATTTAGACAAGTCCCTTGAGAAAAGGAGAAAACAGTGAAAGGAATTTTAGACAGGATAGAATGATTGGATGATAGGATAAGACGCATCAAGTCATCCTGATATGATTTCTCCATTAGATAGTTATAAAATTTCCAATTTTAATGATTTTTAGAGATTGTAGTTACTTGGCTAAACTTGTTCACTGGAACTTGGAATATTTTGAGGGGGCAGATGGAAAAAAAGTTAATACTCAAAGCAATTTCAAAATCTGAAGTTCGACAAAAAAAATGAAAAAATAAATTGGAGTTAAGTACAGCCACCCCATGTGAGTTCCAGGACAACAGATATCATCACAAGTCGTATAACTCTACCACAAATGAGTGTTATTTTACGAGTCTGATAATTACTACAATTACCTGAAGTTAAAATCTCTTTCTCCAGCTGTGCAGAAAAGTTCTGCAAAAGAATAATATGTAATTAGTAGCAATATATGCTTGGCAAATGGCTTATGTATGAATCCTACAGCATGTCAATTGCAAGCTAAGCATTACATGAATTAACCGAATTCAAATTAAATTCTAAGCTTCACAAAGCTCAAGGTAAAAAGTGGGTCGCACATCTAATCACTTAGTATCCACTCAAGACAGAATTCCTATCATCCAAACATATCTTCGCCTGTCATTGTTGCTGAGTCTTCATGTTGTCCACAAGCTCAGGGCTTGCCACTATCCACAGTTTAAGCAAACTTTCTTTGAAAGTAATATATTAGGCAATGAGAGGACCTTGGTATAAGTAAAAAGGTTTTTCAATCACATGTTATGTATTTTTATTTTTTGAAGCTCATCCTGTTTGATTTTATTTTCCAGCGCACCTGCTACACTGGTCATTAAGAGATTTGAATTGTCAGGAAATATATATATATATATATATATAACACGGTGTGAATGGAAACCATAGAAACTGAGGTGTTCATACCTTCTACCAAGAGTAAAAAATCTACATCATCAGCAACAACAATAAAAAATTCATATTATTTTTTTGGCCCAAAATAATTCATATTAGTAAGTATTCCATCTACACATAAAAATGGTAAATAAAGAAATTAAATGTATATGCACGCATGCGAAATAACAACAGTGTAAGGGTAATGTCAGGCAGATTACTGATGCCTGTGAACCAACCGTTTCATGTAGCATGGATACGCTAATATGTAAGTCACTGATTTTTCATAATTTTATCAAACAACAAAGTGTCCTAGACAACAAACTTGCTTGAGTTGGAAATTAGAGACTAATGGCAGCATATTACTAATTCAACGCCCATCATCCCGATGTTTAGTCCCATAAAAACTGCCGGTTGTATCCTGATACTTGATCTATATTATATAGGTCCTTCTCTTACTTTCAGTCATTTGCCCATGTACTAAACATGACAAGTCTGCGCATTCCACAATGTTTTTAGTCAATAAAAGTTAACGCACTGCATAAGAGTTTAAGCTTACAAATGAATCGCCAGAGGCTTCTACAGCTTGAAGTCTCTCCTCATGCATGTCTTCTGTCATCAGTGGTGCTTCCTGCATGATAGCAAATAAGATCCAAAGCAACTTTTAGCAAACAAGTGAGATAATGCATCATAGTGACACTTTAAAATGGCGACTATATGTTAGAGAAACCTGGGTGTATGGGTTATGCATGCTTTGATATGACTTCAGAAGCATCATAGAATCAATAATGCCAGCTGAACCTCTCCTGGTGCTTTCTGAAGATTTTTTATCATTCAGCAGGTCCAAATCTTCAGTTTTGCTACCATCTCTGGCTATTGTTCTTCCACAAGAATGTGAATCACCAGCACTTGAAAAGCTGCACCGTGAAAATCATAGTCATGCACCAACTGTGCTGGAAACAAAACAACTCAAAACAGTTTGCAAGTATAGGAAAATCTTATGTGCCCTGGGGTACAAATCAATTATTTTTAAAAACAGGCATTTGACGATCAAAAACTATGCTAAAATCCAACAGCGAAAAGTACTAGGATAGTAATTCTCTCATATGGGAACATTCCAAAAAATAATAAAACTAAGAGAGTAAAGCTCTCCAATCTAATCATTATATCAGTCTGACTGTTAAATAAACACATGATACACCCGAAGCATGCTGCTAACAAAACACCACAAATATGCCGAGTAGAAGACTTTGTTTGGGGGGGGGCTATCAGGGAAATTTCTCCCTTTTCCAATTAATATTTCAAACATACTTGAGTACAACTAGAATATGGCTAACAATTTGAAATTTCAGAAGAGACCAAGATTAGAGACCCTGGCTATCCACAATTTCAGTGTGCCAAAAATTAGCAAGGCAAAATATTCATGCTGCATCCAAGGTTGCATGCATTATAGCAAATCTTAATTGGAATTCCAGCAAAGCAAGTAACCAAGGCCAAACACTTCGCAAACTGTTTTATTCTGACTTTCTTTGTTCAAAACTTTCCTGGCATACATGTTTGTACTATCAAGTCGAGCACTCATATTAACCTGCTTGCAAGTCAGAAACGCTTTCAAAGGGATGAAAAATGAATATTTTAAACTGATGGATGTAATTTAGTTCCGACCTCTGGCCAGCGAACACAAAATGCAAAAGAAGGGGTAAAATCAGCACATATATTTGCTATCCGACAGATGGGATGAAAATAACCAAGTTGGCTCTCACTTGCTAAGTTCACCTGTCAACTTTGCCAGAAACGTTTTCAATGGGTTTTTGCGTAGTGTATGAGTCATCCCCAACAACACTTTCATCCTGCATTTCATTTGATACCAGAGTCATGAGAAAAAATAATATAAAAATTACTGCTTACACAATAATCAATATAACAAATAAAGAAACGAACAAATTAGTCTGAGACCTCAGTCATAGAGTCTGAATGATCCTCACTTCCAAGACAATCTTGAAAATCTTCATTCCATTGCTGCTTCTTTTCAATGCATATTGCAAGCTGAAAAGAAAAGCAGAAAATGGCAGGAACCATCTTAGCCTTATGCGCTATCACTGTGTAACCTGTAACAAATATATTAAACACTAATACGTCTTTGTAACTCAGAAAAAATTTGCATTTTGATTATGAAAACTTCATTCAGGGGTAGAGGCTTCCAGAAATTAATTTTTGGATATCAATATTACTGTGAATAAGGCAGGGGAAGCATCAAGTACATCCAAATACTATTACTACATTTTCAAATCATAATGATTGACAACCTTAATTTTGTGCACACAAATTAATTACAGAGAATATCTCTCCAAATGGAAAATAAAATAATTAGAATGTTTCAGACGACAAATAACGTTCATCAGAAAGTTTCATATAAAATACAGAAAGCTACTAATAGCAAAGGAGCATGTTTTACCAAGGAGATTTCAATGATAAAAATGAATTACCATCTGAAGTTTCTGGTTGATCAAACATGTGGAAAGGTCAATTGTACCATTTACTGGCATTCGGGGTAATGGTTGCGACTCTTCCCAACACCACCTAACTTCCCGAACAAACTCTATCCATAGCACAGCAATAGCTGACAATACAGACCAAAATCGAGTCATACAAATAAAAAATACAGCACAGATAAGATATCAAACAATGCCTCATAGGTGATCAATGTTACTACTACCTTTGATAAGTTTTACAACAAATAAACCCCTCAATAAATTTGGTACATACCACGTATATTGCAGTTGCCAAACCAAAGAGCATGTAAACAAAACTGTGCAAAGAGAGATGCAAGAGGCGCGCCTTTTATAGCTCGAGAAGTCTTATGCCCACCATCAAACAAGTCAGCGTGTTGAACTCCTGCACACATCACACTAGCATTCATAGCAAAACAAGGTAAAGTAGAACATCAAATCTAAACAACTTATTCTCACTATCACACTCTTACGTTCATTAAGTGATAAGAGCAATCAGATTGTAACCTCGGATCTGCTGAGATTCTAGGGCAGAATACCATATGCTCAACACTCCTCATGAGAACCTCTAACAACCTTAAGTGTGTTTCTACCATTTTCTCCTTAATAGATGCCATGCCAACTTTATCTCGTGTATAATAATTTTTCATCCATGTTCATGGTAAATAAAAAAGAAAAATTGCTCTTAGCAACTGAATTACTAATAGGAGCATTTCTTGTTTTATTCACTGCTACTATAATTTGTGCCCAAAACATGAATGAGATTAAACGAAGGGCAAAATATATAGGGAGGAAGAGTTGCGTACCCTCATGAAACAGTTCTCTCATAACACGATCTATAACTGCTGGTGAAGGTATAACCATTGAAGATTTTAACTTATCTGAGCCTGGATTGTCAGCTGCTACAAGCCAGGAAAAAGGATAATGTTGAACCTCTACCATCACTCAATAGCATTACCAAATAGCAAGTAATCGTAAAACCCAAAGCCTGCAAAATAAATAAAGAATGCACTCAAAATTCAAACCTGAGACAAAGTCTTCCAAAATTGGGCCTCAAACGACATTTCCAATGCATCAGCTAGAAGGTGAAGCTGGATGAAAATCCAATTCGATTCCCTTTGGAACCTTTGAGTCTATAAGTACAGAAATATATTTATTAAAAAAAAACAGAACAAACTTCAATTATGAATCGCAGAAGAGACTACATGAAAATTATGG